CGCACTACAAGGGACTTAGTCCCACCCCACTAGCAATGAAAAAAAAACAGTCCCACCACACTAGCAATGAAAAAAAAACAAAGTACTAATAAATCTAATAAATCTGAGCTAGAACCCCTAATTCTTGTCACGTGTAAGCGCCAATATAGTTGTCCCATCGCTTCACCAGCTCGTTTAAACCCTCAGAATGGAAGTTTTTGACTGTTATCTCAGCCACTTCCACTCCTGGTCGGGCATCATCTGCGACTTTCAAGCGTTCTTGAGAGGATTTTTTTTTGTCTACCCAGGTGTGAATAGTTTTCGGAGACAGACACTTCCACCGTAAACATGTAGTATTTCTTTATGGATATCTGCGACTTTCTCGAGAATTTATCTGAGAATTTCTCGACCCGTGTGTGAACAGTTTTAGGCGATAAACACTTTCTCCGAAAAGAGGTAATATTTCTTTATGCATATCCTTTGATTTGAACTTTTTACCCACAAGAAGCACAAAACAGAGGTTCGCTCTTTGGTAGTACACTCCTCAAGCACGGTCATCATTTTTACTACCAAACCCAGCCTCTGAACATGAGCATATGCGTCTGCTACCTAGACCGTCATGAAGCTGGTCTGTGCTGCTACCTAGTGATACACACAGAAAACCTATCGTAGACCGACACCCGGCGAATCAGGACATGTCCACTCGGAAAAGAGGAAACATTCATTTGGACCTCAAAAAGCAGAATGGCAGTTTCCTCGAAAACTGAATCCTCTCCATAATATTTACACTAACCTAGCCGAGGCCCGTTTATAATTTCATTAATTCACGGGGCATGAGGCAGCCTAGTTGCTTGAGACATTACCCTTCAAGCCGGAATGTCGCTGGTTTCAATTCACTTAACCCTTCCAGCCGCACAATGTCCCTGGGGTCGACTCAGCCTCTAACAGAAATGAGTACCAGGAATTTTCATGAAGGGGTAAAGGGCGGGCGGCACATAAGGCTGACAAATTTACCGACATCGGTGAGCCGATTTGTCTAGAAAATTTGGGAACCTCAACGTCGATCATATGTGCCTTCACGGTCTGTTACAGGGACAGTTTTTTTGTAATTAATTCTTATTTATTTACACTCATTAATTTGATTATTCAAAATTAAGTTAAAAATTCGTATTTATTTAAGATGGTGATGTGAGAATGAAATGCCGTGTCGCTTCATTTCGTAAGGGTGATACTTAGTCTTAATAGAAATTAACTTGAACGTTACTGATTTCTCGTTCAGACTTTTGGCTGTTTAAGCTGGAAGTGAATTTCGGCTTGGAGCAGAGAGGCAACTTTACGACCAGGGATAAACAAGAACTGTTAAGGCAAATAAATTAAAGGAGAATCTTGTCACGCTAATTCAATTGAAGTCACAAATTTGAAAACTTATAGAAATCCCTTGGAAACGTCTGATTAAAAAATCTTGGGCGAAACATTTCCATACCACTCGTCATAGTAAAGACTCCCGCTGAACGCTCATGATTTTAGAGTCCGTCACTGAACTGCACAAACAGTTAACAGGGTGTGTTGTGTTGTGTGTGTTGTTATTTAGTTTAAGTAAAGTCTAAATCGCCGATTACGGTAGCCGAGCGGTCTAAGGCATGCACTGTCTTCGCTCGCCTGGAAACCGGGATCGTAGGTTCGGATCTGTTTCCTGTGAGGTACGAACTGAATTCTTATATATTATTCTTATACACTGCCGGTCACGGTAGCCGAGCGGTCTAAGGCATGTACTGTCTTCGCTCGCTTGGAAACCGGGATCGTGGGTTCGAATGGATGTTAGTTTGAGTGTGTGCGTTTTGCTGTGTTTGTGTACAGGTAGAGGCCTTGCGACGAGCTGATCATCCGCCCAAGGAGTCCTACCGAATGTGTAAGATCTAGAAAAAACGAAGTGAACGGAGAAGTTCATAGAGGTAGGCCTAGGTCCACTGGAGCTGTAGTGCCAAGGGGGAAAAAAAAAAGTCTAAATCAATGACGCACTGATTAATGAATTGAAACAAGAACGACGTAACCACAAGGTGTTTGTTACTTTCCAGTGGTTGCGTATATTAAACTGGGTAATAAATCAGTCATTACAATGTTGTGAAAACAATGACAACTGACTGTCAGTCAGTGACAGTTGTGAACATGCAAAACTCCCGACATTCTCATGTAACCTACCCCTTCCTAATTAATCCAATCAACCCCATCCGTCTGAACCAGCAATCCCGTAATAAATAAATCAGGGACGGGGAACTATGTAAGTTCGGCGGTGGTAATTGGTGGTGTATTCAGGAAAATAACGGTGTTAGCACTAAGGGCTCAAAGCAGAGTATGTATTTTCTCGAATTCACCTTCAGCAGTCAGTGAATTTCACTGTTCTTCAGCATTCAGCAACCAAAAATGCCCTACTAAATAACAATCGCTTTCGTTTCCAAGGTAACATAATGAGAGTCAGTTGTTTACAGGAAATTTTGTGCAATGCCCATGAAGTGGATATTAAAAACATTTACATTTACATAATATATAATGGGGGCAGCCTACGCAACAATATTTCAGGAAAAGAAATAGTACTACTTTATCAACATTTCTTTATGCCCGGGTTCATTTCCCGGCGCTACCAGATTTCCTGATAAGTAGTATTATAACGAAATAGCGGCTCCGGTCTAGAAGATCGAGAATAACGGCCCCGGGGATCCGTTGCGCTGACCACGCGACCCCCTCTATCCGCTATAGTTGGAACTAACTTCGCCGACAAAAGGCGGTCGCTCGGTCGGTATAGTTCGCAGCCCAACTATAGCAGGGAGGGAAGGTAGACCAGACAAAACAAGTGATGGCTTATGGTCGCGCATGAAACGAGATTGCGAGGGGAAGTAGTAGTGTAGTGGGGGTATCTCACACTTCCCTCTCAAATACAGGCAGCAGAGTGACCTGATTTACCCCTCTGCATATGTTTCCTAGGCATGTTGGTGAATCCGCCTTCAAGAACACAGTATGATTTCCGAGTACATGATATTACTCGTTGCGCATGCTCGTAAAACTAGAGCCATGATACAATCCAGTCACATCCTACAACCCTTTTTCACTTAGTGGACTCGACCAAATCAATGCCCATATTACAGAGAGAAGTCACGTTTTAAAATGCGGTCAGTACTGGGAGGGTTCCCTTATATGCAGGATGGTAAGGTGGAGACGCGCTCCCACACACCGATAATCACTATGTTTACGCGTTACCCCTTCTTTACGGATCAGGCTTAATGGACAATGAGCCGCTATAACTTCCCATAAAAACTGTCGGAATTTGCAGTTATGTTCCCTGTACCTTCAGAATAACACCGGGACGGTGCCTCAAATTAGGCAGAAACCACTTCCATCCTGTCTCTTTTCAATTATTTACTAATCACACAATAATTCGGCGTTATATAACGAGGTTGCTATTGCGATAACATTTCTCTCTTGTATTCGAGTATTGACCGAAACACAGATTATCCTGACGGAGGTTTTCCTTTGTTTCCAAGGCTCTCCAGACAAATCTTGATTTGGCAGCCTCTACTGCCTTCCAAATCCTTTCCAATTCATCAACCATCTTACCATTCGACCCTTAAATAATCCACCGATAGGCACGTATTTCTATTATTTAAAAGATGTGTGCCCTAAATTCTTGACTATATCGTTAACTGAACTACAAATAAATACAGTTAAAGTTGTGAGTTGTCGGTTTTCTTCTGTTTTCAGTACGAGCCCTGCCTGTAGCTTCGTCTCTATGCAACTTGCAATGCTGCTGTTTCCCCGCGCACTGTAACGGCTCTTGGCTAAGCTTTCAGTATTCTGCCTTTAAAATGTGTTAGCAATATTTATTTTAAGGAGCGCACATTGTCCTTTAGATTTCAGGGCAACGAATTGAAAAGAATAGATGAATGACCGAGGGAACTGGTTGATGGAGAAGTTTGCTCTCATATTCCCGTCGACTTACTCGGAAATTGATCCCTCAGTAACGGTCGCAAGCGACAGAAAAGTGAAGGCGCAAATCTTTCTAGAGACTGTCAACATGTGTCTCACGTTGTAAGGACATCAAAGTAGACATTACTGCTTTACGCTAACTTCCGCCCCTAATGCAATAATAATAATAAAGTGACATACACTCGACCAAAGTAACCGCATCGGAACATACATACTAATGGAGCACATAGAAGTAACAGCGGTAGGTAGCAGCACAGTGATGCACATAGGGCTGCACAATATGACGCAAAAACATTGACGCTGCAAGACGAAGCTAGCACATGAAAAGATGTTATCAAGAAAATGTAATTTAACGATAGTACGACCAATATGGAATAATAATGGAAAATTTTAACGTAAGAACAATAGAGCGTAGCGATTTCAACAAGTGAACTGTTGCCTGAGGAAGGCAAAATATGGCTGAAACATGTAGCAGTTTAATTTTAATATTATTTTAAGTTAAGGAGTAATTATATTTGAATTAAATAAGGAAGTGTGTGAAGTGATACATTAATGCAACGGTATGCTGAAATACAATAATGTAAACAATAGTTTACTGTTTTTTTTTCTGGTGGACGAGGGACAGTTGGACCGATTATGTGAGAAATGAAGAAGTGTTAATTAGAGTCAGTGAGCAGAGGAATATCCTACATGAAATAAGAAAACGGAAGGCTAATTGGATTGGTCATGTTTTACGCAGAAACTGCCTTCTAAAAGAAGCTATCGAAGGAAAGATAGAGGGGCGGATAGAAGTGACAAGAAGACGAGGAAGAAGACGTAAGAAGATGCTGGATGACCTTGGGGACAGAAGAGGATACTGTCATTTGAAGGAGAAAGCTCTAGATCGCATTAAGTGGAGGAATTGTTTTGGAAGAGACTGTGGACCTGTCGTCTGAGAGATTACTGATGATGATGAGGGAGCCCTTCTTGCGGGTGGAGTAATGCCTTCTGATCAGAGAACATCGCTACATAATGCTGTATAATGAAAACATAAATGAACTCACCCAGAAATGTCCAGGTCATCTTCAAGGAAGTCCACCCAAACCTGAAAAAGGAAATAAAATAAGTTTACAATCATTTCAACAACCGTCTATAGCAATACTACGTACCAACAGCATAGTATGTCACTCCGCGCAGGCGACTTCCAGCTGCTGGTAGGCCGACCCGCCACGATGAACAACCCGTACAAGTTTCTAACCGGCAATAATCGCACATTGGACTGACTTCATTGGTTACGAGGCTGTCGCTGAAGGGTCAAGAAGTTGACGTGCTATTCCCGGTTGGAGGAAGGGCTCCTTCTCTTCTCTTTAGCTTCCATACCGGCTCTGGAATCCACCCAGCCTCTTACCCTACTAACCTGGGAACATATCGCCCGAGGCGTGAAGCTTTTCACTCACCTTTGTCTAGTTGCGAGGTTTAGAGGGGTGGAACTATAATTCCACTTCCCCATACGTTTACATGAAGTAGTGCTTAATCAATCGAGCACAGGGAGAGATGTTCCTGTTGAAATACGCCCGTCCTCACTCTCCGCTGCAGGAGGTCTGTATCGCTACTCTGCAACATCTTCTTCATAAGGCTCGACAGCTTCATCTCTGGAACGTTTTGGCCTGCTGCTACTCTGTAACTACGCTCACTCAATGCTCTTATCCTTCAGGTGTGAAAGCTAAAGGTGAAGTTGTTCCTGTGCTTAACTAATTAAGCACTACGCCATGAAGCCACATTTCCTTCACCTCGACACTACTTGGAGTTGAGTGGTCAGTTTCAGTCACCGCCCGCCTTACCTACGGGGAAAGAACCCGCGGCACACACTGGATAGGAGGCTGAATGGACCCCAGAGCCGGTTTGGACGACGTGGAGAACAGAAAATTCTTGACGCTACCGGGACTCGAAATCCGACATCTTGGTCGTCCAGCCCGAAGCTAGTCGCTACACTTACTACGTTATCCCGGCCCCTTCATGTGTATCGTGTGTAACCACGAGGGGATTTCTTACGCATGCGTAACTGAGGCGTATAGTGCTACATCAGGAAATATGTCTCGGTCCTCGAATTTTTGTTCAAGTGTTAATTGGATTAGTTTCTGTTTCATTTGTAGCTGTAGAAAATTTCCTTTATACTCGTGATTCCGCCTTCTTCTTTGCAAAATCTACGGTCCACATGGTCTGTTCTCTTTCTCAGTATGGGCATTTATTATTAAGTATGTGGGTTGCGTAATCTCAGACCTCCCGGTGACCTGTAACATTACGTATGTGCTCTCTACATACCCGGCACTTAAATAAAGGCATCAGTCGCTCCAGTAACACTTACTGTTACGCTGTGAGAGAAGGCATATTTCGATAGGTGCCATGAACAGGAACCCTACAAATTAATGGCAGAATACATTAATAAATAATCAGATATAAAGGAAACTGATCTATTCGAAAATTTATAGTACTATATCAGGTTTACAGATGGACCACTATGCCCATAACTTGATGATACAATCCGCGCAAATTGACTGCTATGTTGTTAATTTTGCATGTATAATTTGTGGCGCTACATTTGTCTATACTTCATATATGGACATATAACTCTACCTTAAAATTATTTTAAGATTGAAAAAGTAATTGTAAACGACTCCATTATTTCTATTAATTTGGTAGGACATGCTGAAGTTGACTCGAAGGACGAAAGTGGTTAGTTGTATCAATTTGGTACCAATTATTTTTATTGTTTGAATCCTGTTGCGTGAATTACAGCTAAGAAGATATTGAAACCTTTCACATGTCCAGCCGCGAACGCAACAGATGTTTTTATTTATAGATTTAAAATGAACACTACATGTTTCGACCGTTAAAGGGTCATTTTCAGGTGTTCTCCTGATACACAATTTATTTCCGCCGACTTGTAGCTCATGGTCTTATATCAGCATTTACTAACATTACAGTTGTGCATACAAGTAAGTTATAAGTCTCAGATTAATTGTGTATCTGAAGAACACCTGAAGATGATCCTTTAAGAGTCGAAACATGTAGTGTTGATTTGCAATTAATCAATAGAAACATTTGTTGCTTTGACTGCTGAAAATGTTAAAGGTTTTAATATTCTGTTACCTGTACTGATTACATATATGTTGCTGTCTGGTCACCGAAATGTAGGACAAAATCATGACGTAAAGGTAGGAAACAGATGTTTTGAAAATGTGGCACAATTTATATTTGGGAAAAACGATAACAAATCAAAACCTGATTCAGGAGGAAATTAAGAGGAGATTGAACTCGGGTAATGCTTGATACCTTTCAGCCCAAGACCTTTTGTCTTTTCGTCTGCTGTCCAAAAACATAAAAATTAGAATATACAAAACTATAATTTTGCCTGTGGTTTTGTATGGGTGTGAAACTTTGTCTCTGACATTAAGGGAGAAATATAGACTGAGGTGTTTGAGAACAGGGTGTTGAGGAGAATATTTGGATTGAAGAGAGATGAAGTGACAGGTGGTTGGAGAAAACTGCATTATGAGGAGCTTCATAACTTGTGCTCTTTTCCAAGTACGAGTATAATTAGAATGATCAACTCAGGGAGGATGAGGTGGGCAGGGCATGTAGCAAGAATGGAGGATAAGATGAATGCATATAGGATATTGGTGGGAAAGACAGAAGGAAAGAGACCACTTGGAAGACCAAGGCGTAAATGGGTGGAAAATATTAAGATGTATCTTAGGGAATAGGATGGATAGGTATGGGTTGGATTGATCTGGCTCAGGATATTGACCAGTGGAGGGCTCTTGTGAACACGGCAATGAACCTTCGGGTTCCATAAAATGCTGGGAAATTCTTGAGTAGCTGCAAAATTGGCGGCTCCTCCAGAAGGGCTCAGCTCCATGGGTAAGTAAGTAAGTAAGTACTAATTACATCATGCATTGCTTCAAGTGGTGCCCTCTGAAGTGAAGCGCGAACAGCACAACGCAGCAAGAGATTTTGCAGCTGTCTCTCTCTGTGAACTCCGTCGTGCTCTGGGTACTCGGAGGCTGGACTGGAAATCCAGATTTGACAGTTACGCCTATTTGATATTGAGCAACGAGAGAGGTTCCTTCTTCAGAACATTCTAGAAGTTACAGCTGCATAAAACGAGCCACAACGGGAGAGAGAATCCAACAGCTGATTTGCAGTTCGGATATGTGCCAAGTCTATGCCCAATACACAACAAATAACGCTATTTCTCTCTCCATTTTCAGCACAGTCTGCACTGTTCTTCTGTGCCTCTTCTTCATGGTTTATTTAAACACAAACTCGCTGAGACCGTATCATTTCGAAAGTTAGGGCAGTCAGTCTATACGTGGTAGTGTCAATAAGGTCTAAGAGTACGAGTATTGTGATGACTGGTACATTAGTACATTCTGTCTCCGCCTTCAGGTAAAACCTACTCTGTTGGGCCCAATCGATAGTGCTAAACCCCATCTCTGGAGACCTGTACCAACACCCGATAGTGTATACAAGCCAAGCACAGCACATCATCTGTGAGAGTTAAGTCAAAACATTAAAGTATTATAAACTCTACTCGTTATGAAGCCTTGCACCAGAGAATTTTCATGATAGGAATCATCACTAGAGAGATAAAATTCTCCGTATAGCACCAACACAAGAGAACCCAAATTTTCCACTCACTCTACATTGAAAGGGGTTGTAGTTTTTTACTTATGCGGTGATAACGGGGATCCAGATTGGAGATCGCTGGCTTCCCTGATCGGATGGTTTATCAGAGATATGTGGGCGTATTCCTTGATGGAGATTTGAACAGAGTACCTCCCGAATATGGGGTACGTGGTAGCGTAGTTGGTTGAGGCACTATGCTATAAGGCGGAAGGTCGCAGGTTCGAGGTGGAGATGGAGTTTTTCAATTTACCTAATCCTTCCAGCCACATTATGGCCCTTGGGCCGATTCAGCCTCTAACAGAAATGAGTGCCAGGAATCTTCCTGGAAGTAAAGGGCGGCCGGCGAGTAAGACTGACAACTTTACCGTCATCTGTGAGTCGATTGTCTAGAAAATGTGTCAGCCTCAACATCTCACAAACTTATGGGCCTCCAGTGATTGTAATAATTAAAGCTCTACCTTTACCTTACCTCCCGAAAATAAATCTGAAGCGTTGCCGCTTTTCCAGTGCTGGGCTCCATATGCCCGCGTTCAACAAACACATAAATATGAAATATCGACTTCTGTACATTTGCGGGAACTGCGTAACACGTTTTGCTTCTAGCTAAACTGTCGTTTATTTTTTTATTATATTTCCCTTATCGGCGAGTTTCACAATACTCACTGTGTGTTTACAATCTGCAGGGACAAGATTTCCAGTGTCTGTTTTGATCTAGGCAAGTTGTTTTCGTTTCGTTCAGAGAGAAATTTTAGACGTAGGTTGGGCTTAAACTGGCAGCCTTCAGCTGAATGTAGGCTGTCGATGGCCGGAAATGTTGAACTGATGAAAGAGTGCAAATTCAGAGGAAAGCGCGATGTCAGCCGATTATGCATACAATTCCGTTGATGCCTGCATACGACTATAGTTGTTAATTTGTAATTCCTCTTGGTATGTCCATGCATTATGAAGCATTCACAATATTGTTTGAATCGCAGAAGCATTTCGTAAGTAGGAGAGGTTTTGTTACTTTAAATCGTTTTGAAGTATTCTTTTTCTAAACAAAATTAAAGAATACACGTTGTCGGGAAAGTCACTCAAAAGGATTAAGGAGGCTACATTTACTTAACAAACATATTACACCAAAAACTCCACGGAAATTAAGTTTCCATCTCTTAACTTCCTTGTGTGTTTCTTCACGGCACACCAGACGTGTAGCCGATAGCTGACTTCAGACCATCTATGTAGTTGTCTTCACAGCTGCATTGAACGGCACGGCACGGCACCCATACACGGGGTGCAGAAGTCGTGCGACTCGGGACCCATTGACTGGCCCGGACACCAAACTGGGAGATGAAGACCCATCACTTGGCATTCATAATCATCATATTTTATGAAGATTTTTCAACATGATTTATTGTGTATTGTAAAGCTGAGTGA